CTCTGTCTCTGACCCTCCCCTGCTCATGCTGTCTCCGTGTCTCTCTCAAGAATAAATACACATTAAAAAAAGAATTTTTTTTTTACTTTTTAAATGTGTATTTATTCTTGAGAGAGAGAGAGAGAGAACAAGAGCGGGGGAGGAACAGAAAGAAGGAGACACAGAATCCATAGCAGGCTCCAGGCTCTGAGCTGTCAGCACAGAGCCCAGTGCGGGGCTGGAACTCACGAGCCATGAGATCATTTGAAACTGTTCATTTGAACCTGAGCCGAAGTAGGATGCTTAACCGACTGAGTCACTCAGGCACCCCAAGAAATTTTTTTAATGTTTGATTTATTTTTGAGAGAGAGAGAGAGAGCGTGAACGGGAGAGGGGCAGAGAGAGAGAGAGAGAGAGAGAGAGAGAGAGAGAGAGAGAAACCGAAGCAGGCTCCAGGCTCTGAGCTTCAGCACAGAGCCTGACATGGGGCGCAAACCCATGAACCGCGAGATCATGACCTGAGCTGAAGTCGGACACTTAACCGACTGAACCACCCAGGCACCCCCGCAAGAAATTTTTTAAAGCGTGGTTGCAACCAACAGACACAAATCTCCTACTGACATCATGGAAGGATTGATCCAAGAATATTCTGAGTTTATGTTAAAGGGATGCATAAGCATAGAAAGGATGGGGACCCTATGAGTCACATGTTCAAGTTAAAGTGACTCAGGACAGCGTTCATGGCCTGCCAATGTTAGACATCTAAGGAGGCAGTAGGGGAAGAGGGGGTGTCCACAGGTTTAGAAATCAAGTAGACTTTGCTCCTGCTCCAACTTGGGGGCCTTGGACAAGCTACTTACCTTCTTTATGTCTTATTCTTCTCACGTGTAAAATAAGGAAAAAAACAGTCAACTAATGATCTTAGTGGACACCACCTCATAATGCCCCAGGACACCTTGAACTCAAAGTAGAATCATGGTGGTAGAAGAAGCCCCACTTCCGAATGGGGGAGGAAAGAGCTGAACAGAGCAAGGTGGGGCCAGAATGGTGGTTAGCAATGTGCCCAGCACGTGCTTGTACAAGTCCAGCCAAAGCGTCTGCACGTTGCAAGCCCACAAAAGATGTGACTTGGTCATTGTTACCATGGTTAGGTGCCTTGCCCACCTGTCTCTAGCTGAGTAGCTGTCCTAACTTGTGCGATCATTAAAAGCACACTCTAGCTCAGTGTGTCTTTCTGTTCATTACATTTCAAGACATTATCGCCCCTAATGTTTCCTAATTGCTTTACCCATGAAATTTTAACTTAGCAGATGTATTGCAATTCTATGAGTAATTTCAAGTGTCAACTTGGCTGGGCCATGAGTTGTAAACTGTACCCCTAGTATACAAACCTGGGGGAAGATGGTATAGGCTCCGGATGGGAGGTTCTTGGCCAAGCATGACTGTGACTCATGACCTCTGGCAGCATCGTCTCTCAGTTCTGCCCTTCTAGATGGTGGGCTGGACACCCTCCCTGAGAGCCAGTCCCGGGACTTTGGGCCCCACCTAGAAACCTCCTCGCTCACTCTTCATTCCCAACACCCCCATCTTCCATCAAGTTCTCAACCTGCAGTCTCTTTATTCCTCCATGTAAAAGTTCTGATATTCCCTTTTCCCTTCATAATCATCTCTAAAACATTTTGAAACCAGACCCCAAAGGTTAGCAACCACTTTCCCTTTCTTAGAGGGCAGGGATGATTCAGGCATTAAATGCTCCTCAGCATTAAGGGGGAATGTTTGATTTTAATCTGGTCCTAGAATGGGTTGGAGTGTTTTAAAGCAGTTGTCATTGGGGCACCTGGGCAGCTCAGTCAGTTAAGCATCCAAGTCTTGATTTTGGCTCAGGTCAAGATCTCACGGGTCATGAGTTGGAGCCCCGAGTGGGATCTGAACTGACAGTGCAAAGCCTGCTTGGGATTCTCTCTTCCTCTCTCTCTCTGCCTCTCCCCTGCGCTCTCTCTCAAAGTAAATAAACACAGAAAACATAAAATGGTTGTCATTAGGTTTTTGAATTAAAATTGGTTGAATATTCACATCCTTCTATTTCCTTCATCTCGATTCATTTCTCTAACCATCACACGAGGTAGGTCCTATTATCAGCTTATTATTCATCCTATTATTTAAAGATGAGGCAACTCAGAGAGGTTAAGTAACTTGCATGAGGTCACACAGCTAGTAGGTACCTAAGCTGAGTTTTCAGCCCAGGTCTTCCTGTCTTAGAGCCTGAACCCTCAAACCACCACAAGCAAACTCTAAGAGCCTCAAAGGTATTCTGACCCTAGGATAGCTTGCCACATACAGCTTTTAATAGCCATAGGATACCCCACTCAGTAGAGATGCATGAAGAGATTTTCACTTCTTTAGCTTCTTTGGACATTAAGGAGAAATATCTGAGAAACAATGATAATTCACCAAATGATCTGATGAATAACCATTTTTGTACGCAAGCTTCCGCTCAAATACAATAAATTCTCTGGTGGCAAAAATGTCACCTGCTTTGTTCACTGATGAACCCGCAGCATTTGGTGTGCTCCCTGATAAATGTTCATTGAGTGAATATATCTTCGTGTGTATATGTATCTACACAAGTATTTAAATTTTATGTATATGCTGACCACTGTCCTTCCAAAATTATTGCTTCACTTATATACTTCGATCTCTGTTTCGTTCTGTCTGGTTTTGGTGTGCTGGGGATATCTTGAGAGCTCAGTGTCGTAGAAATAGTGAATGATTCTCTATGTTTCCCATTGCTGCTGTAAGTAGCTGCCATAATTTAGTGCCCGGAAACCACACAAATTCATTATCTTCCAGTTCTGGAGTTTAGAAGTCCATAATGGGTTCGCAAGGCTGTATGTTCCTTCCGAAGGTTTTAGGGTAGAATTCATTTCCTCGTCTTTTCTGGCTTTTAAAGCTTGCATTCTTTGGCTCACAGTCTCTTCCACATCATTCCAATCCCTGCTCTCATCGTCACATCCCTTTCTCTGACTCTGACCCTCCTGCCTCCCTCCTTTCCTTCTATGGACCTTTGTAATTTACACTGCCCCACGTGGATAATCCCAGATAATCTTCTCATTTTGAAATCACGTCCGCAGAGTCCCATCTGCCACATAAGGTGACATATTTGCAGGTCCCAGGAATTAGAACACGGACATCTTTGGGGAGCCGCGATTCTGGCTACCACAGCGCGGGAATCGGGTTTGAACTTCAGCACTGCCTCTCCCACATGCACACCCGAAACATGTACTGCGTTCCTGCTTGCCCCGTCCTGAGCTAAATCTAAGCAATGCACTAAGTAGCTCAGCGGTCTTCTCCAAGTTGTATACCCTCCCTGACGCTCCACCTCTCACTTTCAGAATTGGAGAGGTTAAGGTTTGTTTCACAGGAAATTCTGCATGTAGAATATTGCAGACAAACCTTCCCATTCAGGAATAATTACATGCTGTTTTAATCTTGACAAAATGTAAGTAAAATCCCAGTTAAGCAGTAACGAGACCCTCTTGCAAACTGCTGATGTGAATGTAGATCAGTAGAGGCTTCCTAGAGGGCAGTGTAGCGCTACGAATGTAATGAAAAGTCTTATGTTGCTTCTCTTTATCCCACTAATTATCCATTCTAAGTATGTCTTAGGAGCATGATTGAATTTATGTACAAAAATGTTCAGTGAAATATTATTCATAATGGGGAGAGGTGGAAACAAACTAAATGTCCACTAATAAGGGCTGAGATAAATAAGTGTGGTATATCCTCATTACAGAAATATTAGCAGCCATGTAAAAGGATTTTGTAGACTACTAAATACCGTGCTCCCGGTTTGTCAAATATCAGTGACAAACTTGGAAACCTGCCTCGCTTACTATCTCAAATCAGTAGAAGAACTGTGTGGTGAGAGAGTGTATGTGTAAAGAAAAAAAAAAGACTGAAAATATACATTTCATGATGTTACAGTGACTATTTCTGGGCAATGGAATAACGAGTGATTTTCATTTCTAATAATGAAGTTGGGGGGAAAGGAATTTCCGCATAGAATAATTAATTCCTTTGGTTAGATTATCAAGCAGTCCCTGTGCAGAACAAAAAACTTCCATAGGTGTCCCTCTAGTGGAAGAAAGACGCGGCGGCTGCGGGGACACCCGGCTTCAACTTTTTTTTTTTTTAAAGAAATAGCCTATTGTATTCAAGACACTTCGAGAGAAACAAGGGCTTGAAAGTAGTAAACTATTCTGTTTATTTATTTTTTTTAATTTTTTTTTAAATGTTTTATTTATTTTTAGGAGAGAGAGAGAGACAGCGTGAGCAGGGGAGGGTCAGAGAGAGAGGGAGTCACAGACTGAAACAGGCTCCAGGCTCTGAGCTGGCAGTCAGCACAGAGCCCGACGCGGGGCTCGAACTCACGAACCGCGAGATCATGACCTAAGCGAAAGTCGGACGCTTAACCGACTAAGCCACCCAGGCGCCCCTATTCTGTTTATTTTAAAAAAAATGTTTACAGGGAGACAGAGGCCAACTGCACAAGTAAAAATCAAACCTCAAGTGGCAAACAGGGCCGCTGTTTCTAGGCGCACTTAGAAAACACTGACAGTTGGCTTTTTCATTGCCGACGTTGGGGGACTAAACTCCTTGAGGTCAATTCTCTCCTTGCTTCTGGGTAGCTTGGGTTCCAGTTGTAGATCCAGGTCGCCCCACTCTCAGCCTGAAGGGACAAGGCCGGCTGGAGTCACTAAAGGCTGAGGCCTGTAGGGGGCGCCCGTCGGGAGAGCGCTAGCAGTAACTCTGGAGCTCTACGAATCTTCGGCTCCACTCGGCTCCTCTTCGGCTAAGTCCGGTCAGCTCTCCTCTCGGCTTCGGCTCCCCGGCGGAGCTCGGCTGGCTCTGGACCTGTCGGGCTCGGCTCCCTTCGGCTCCGTTCGCCCGACGCTCGTCAGAGCTCGGCTCCCTTCGGCGGAGCTCGGCTGGCTCTGGACCGGTCGGGCTCGGCTCCCTTCGGCTCCCTTCGCCCGACGCTCGTCAGAGCTCGGCTCCCTTCGGCGGAGCTCGGTCGCGGCCCCGGAAGGGCTCCCATGGAGCCGGTACCGTCGGCTCGGCCGACAGCTATGGCGCCGCTGCTGGAGTACGAGCGGCAGCTGGTGCTCGAACTGCTGGACGCCGATGGGCTGGTAGTGTGCGCCCGCGGGCTCGGCGCCGATCGGCTCCTCTACCACTTCCTCCGACTGCACTGCCACCCGGCGTGCCTGGTGCTGGTGCTCAACACGCAGCCGGCCGAGGAGGTGCGGGTGTCGGCGCGGGGGTGAAGGGACCCCGAGAGAGTTGGGGGGCCTCCCGAGCGGATCCAGGCCCTGACGCGGGCGCGGGGGTCTCCGAGGGCGCTGGCGGTCCCTAGCGCCGGGGGCGGGGCGGGGGGCTGGATGGGGATCCCCAGGGCAGATGCAGGTCCTTGACAGGGGCGTGACGTGGTGGGGGGGGGGGTCCCTGGGAGACGCACGCCTCCGACACGGGCGCGGGGACACTGAGAAGGATGAGAGGGGTCCCTGAGGTAGATGCGGTTTCCTGACGCGGCTGTGAGGACACGGGAGTGGGAGGAGTCCCGAAGCGGACGCCAGTCCCGGCCACGGGCGCGGGGACCCCGAGGGTGGGAGGGGTCCCGAGCAGGCTGCAGGGTGCTGGCACGGGGGGGGGGGGGAAGCTGGGAACGGGGGTCTCTGTGGCGCAGAGGGGATTGGACGTCCCTGAAGAGAACAAGGTGGCCAGAGAAGGATGCGGAGGAGGGAGTCCCCCGGCTGGAAATCGTGGGGCTGGCTGGGGTCAGAAGAAGGGAACAGTGTTCGGAGGTGGAGGAGCTTGAGGGGGTAGTGGCCGGATGAGAAGGGAGAGGCCGAGTCTGCGGAGAGCCTTGTAGGGAAGAGGAGGGGCTGAGGGGGGTCCCCCAGGCTGGGGGGAGAGGGGTGTAGGGTCAGAATGGAAGGGAGCTGGAGGTGAGGATCTTGGGGAGGGGTGCCTGCGGTTAAGGAATGGAGGACTCTGAGTACAGAAGAGGGATACACCTGGGTCACATCGGGGGGTCGCTACTGAGAGGTGGCACAGCCTGGTCTGCCAAGTCTGCTGAGCCCCTAGATGGAGCGGGTGGCCAGGACGCTGTCCGCCGAGAAGAATGACCACCACTTCTTGAGGGCGGGGGCTCCTGTTTGATTTGTCTAGGGGTCCGCAGTACCTGACGTAGAGCCCCGCACAACCCAGGGCCCTCAGGAGAGGAAATGTTGCACTGAAGACACAAAGGGCCAAGGTGCCATTGACCTGAAATGCCCCCTGGGGTGGATGGGGACAGAGCCAACCGTCTGAAACACTGCCTGGGAGAAGGATTCCTTGCCATCTCCTCACTCTGATGGGAAGGATTTTCTTTTTTTTTTCTTTTCTTTTCTTTAATGTTTTATTTATTTCTAGGAGAGAGAGAGAGAGAGAGCGCGTGAGCAGGGGAGGGTCAGAGAGAGAGGGAGTCACAGACTGAAACAGGCTCCAGGCTCTGAGCTGGCAGTCAGC